AAAATAATAAATAACCAACTTGCTACAAAAACAGATTGATCGATTTTGGGTATATTCTAAAGACCATTATGTATATAAATACAGTGTTTACAAGAGTAATTACAGTATTAAGGTTGCACTTGCTGATAATAAAGCATTTATAAGTGTTAAAATCAGAGTTATCAGTTGTAAAATAGGTCATTTTTAAAAAAACACAAATATATTTTGGGTTTTTTTGGGTTTTATTGGGTTTTTTTAAGGTGGGTTTTTTTGGGTTTTTTTGGGTTGGGTTTTTTTGCCAACCCTGTGGCAACTAAGGTTGGTTAAAACCTTAAACTAACCTTAATTCAGTCCTAATTTAAAGCTAATTTGTAGCAATGATTTTGATATGCTTTCATATATATATATACATTTTTTTTGCATTGCAGTAAATAATGAATACTAAAGTACATCTATCTCTATTTTTTGCGTTTTTAATGCATTTTGTGCCAACTTCATTGTTCTGACAATGCATTTTGTGCCAACTTCATTGTTCTGACTTTGTAACTTCCCCATGAGTACCCACTATTTTTTTTTCTGTAATCGCTTTAATAAAGTCTACTAAGTTAGTAGAAATAAGGTTTATCATGAAAATCAGTGTTGATCATAGGTTACCAGTGGATTTAAGGGAAGGCACAATTTTGTAAGTTCTAGCCGCAGCCATTTTTAGGGGTCCATAATTTCTTACTGAATTGTATCTTATCAGCAAATTTCTAAAAATTAGGAAGCCTACCATATATAACAAAACTAAAAAGATATATCTTTTTACTTCTTAAATTGCTAGTTTTGTATATTGACCCATCAAAAATCAACTTTCTATATCTGTAAACAATTTTTTCGTTTTTTTAGGCAGCCATTAGGGATAAAATGTGGCATTAAACAATTCAATGTCAAAGTTTTAACAAAGTAAGCCTAGCATTGTATATGATAAAAAAAACTAGAAGGATTTCTGAAATTTGGTTTTTGCAATACAGAGCTTCAAAGTATGAACAAAACATGTTTTTGCTACTGAAGTTTTTGTTTTTGGAAAAATCAAATGACCATATCTCATGAACCACATAAGATTTGAAGCTGAAATTTTTAGGATTTGCTTTTCTCATTGATATAAACCAACCCACCAAGTTTCATCAAAATCTGAGGGGTCCATGTTGGAATCCCGAAATTTTAGACCATATGGCACGGAATGACCCTAATATCTATATTTAGTTAATATCTATATCTAGTTAATATCAAACTAATCAAACTAAATATTATAAAAAGAAGAACAAAATAACTTTTTTACTTAAAATATCCAGCTAACGATTTGCATTTCTTTACAGCATTTGATGCTCTTTTCTATCAGCTGCTCGTTTCCTAATTTGGTTAGGCATGTTAACTCTATAGTTTGCTTTTAAAAGTGAATTAGTATTAGTAGAGAATTGTAATCACAGTATAAACTCTGGAGAGACTATTTTTTATTTTTTGTTTACAAAAGATTTCACAATGCAATGACTTGTAATTGACGTCTTACGTTTGTTGAAACAATAAAGTAAAAATTGTTTCATGAGAATAATTCATAAAAATTTTGATTAAATATTTTGACATTGAAAAGAGTCTAGAAATAATTTTTGGCGTCAAATTAAAAAAGGCATTTCGCATAAAAATGGGGGTCGATCACACCCAACGACCCCCCCCCCCCACGGTACAGGGCTATATATATATATATATATATATATATATATATATATATATATATATATATATATATATATATATATATATAGTATTGCCTACTAAGGTAAGCAATCTGACGTCATTCTGAAATAGCTTGCTACCGGGGGCTTCAGTACATACATTGACTGACAAATAGCCTGACTCGCAGTGGGGTGCTGCTACATCGACTGAGGGTTTTGGATGGGCCAACAATCGTTTCATTCATCATTCTTTGTTTTTTTTCTTCTTTTTCTAAAAAAGTCGCATAGCTTAAGGTAAGCAAAAAAAGTGAGCAAATGCTTATAAAAGTACGCTTTAGTAAGTGTGTATATAAATATATGTATATATATATATATATATATATTTCATATATGTATATATATACCATATATATATATATATATATATATATATATATATATATATATATATATATATATATATATATATATATATATATATATGTATATATATACCATATATATATATATATATATATATATATATATATATATATATATATATATATATATATATATATATATATATATATATATATACCATATATATATATATATATATATATATATATATTAATTAAAAAAAAAGTTAAAAGTTAAATTACACGGAGCGGGCGTGTTCCGTAAGCCTATCAACAGCTAGCCGTGCTAGCTCGTGCAAAATTGCACGGAAGATGATGCGCTGTAGTAATTATTAAAGCTGATCGAATTTTGTGCTACGTTTTAACATTACCTAACATAGTAGTCAGTGCTACCAGTGCTACGACACTGGTAGCACTGACTACTATGTTAGGTAATGTGTTCCATGGGTGAGCGACGCGGTTGTTGAAGGAATAATAGCAAACGAGGCAGTTGTTTTCCATTTCACGATAAAAACGCTTGCAATGACCGTAGCTAGGTGGGATGTTAGGTGGATCTATATGCCAGCTAATTGAGTCGATACTGTTTATACCATATATATATATATATATATATATATATATATATATATATATATATATATATATATATATATATATATATATCATATATATCATATATATCATGTATACCATATATACCATATATATCAGAATGTTAACCAGGAATAAATTTGATACAGCGTTTTGACGAAATTGGGAATTAGTCAAAACATTTTCCAATCTTTACCTCCCCCCCTTTTTCTCTAATATTAAAATATGTTCTGGTAATGCGTGGGATTTTTAGCCAAAAATAAAATACCGTCTGTATCAACACAAAATTAGACGTAGTTTCACAATGACATGGCAATCAGTGTATGTTAATTAATTATTATTAAGAATAATATATTTGATATATAATTGCCGCTTTTATTTTAAGAAAATTCTTTTTAATATATATATATTTTTTCAATGGTGGGCATTAAATGGTGATTTTTAACGTAATATAGTGATTTATGTTCAATGAAAATCTATGTAGAAAAGAACAAATGGTCTCCTACTTAATTATTCAAATTCTGCTTGATGTCTATTATGGACAAACCCTTACACCATCATGTAGCAAATTGTGTCCTCAAAAAAATGTTTTAAAAATAGGAAAATAGAAAAAATTTGAAAATAGTAAACACAAGCTCATAAATTTCATATTTCACATTTATTGGGAGTTCGTTTTTATAAATAATATTAATTTTCTTTAGATACAAATTGCATCGGTTAAAATTACAATTACAAAAACTCAGCAAAAACTACAGCTGATATTATTTAACTACAAAAAACTCAATAGGTAACATTCAATCACGATATTCTTCTTAAATGCAACAATAGCGTTCAATTGCAAGCAATCAAATGCTATCATGGCATTGAAGAATACCAATAATTTTTTTTTTTTTTTACTATAACTATGGTTCATTCAAACATTTAAAATTGCTTTTACGTATTAAATTCGAGCAAGCAGAGGACTCAGACAGTGATTTTTAATTTCTAGTACGAGCTTGTTGTAATAAAAAAAATTTCTTGTTAATAAACGTATTTAATTTATGTTTTAATTAAAAGCAAGCAGTGAAAGAAAGAAATCTATTTTCCTCATTAAATAAAATTCAAGTACCAGTTTGTTATAACCATAAAACAATTTTTGTATTAAACTTATATTTCAGAGGTGGTCTTTTAAAAAATTATTCGAGAAAAGATAGTAGATAAGTAAAAATGATTTTATTTACTGCGATCATGTAATTCAGTTGATATAAAATACCAAACAAACAAAAAAAAGAAAAAAACTTACCATTAAATCCATGATTGATAAAAATTTTGAAAGTATCTGACGTAGGCGGCTTCTCAATATTTTTGTTGACAAAGCATATGTACTACTTGAAGTAGAGTTTGCAGTAAGTTATTTAACTCTTCAGCCAAAAAGGGTAAAACATGCAACAAAAAAAAAAAAGCATTTGCAGGTGTTAAAGCAAACAAGTTTGTTATTTTTTTAGAATGTACTCTATTTCTTGCTAACTTTTTATGTATAATATTTGCTAAAATTACTTGCAAATTTTGTAAAATGAATTTTACAAGAAAGTTGCCAAGAAAATCCCTAAAATTGCTGTGAAAATCCTTATTCTCAATAAGTTTTTTCCAATAGACTTATGCAACGCATAATTGTACCAATAATGGCATT